AGAGCTTTACTATGTAGCCTTGACTGACCTGGAACTTGTTATATAGACCAGTAGACCAGGCTGGCCTCTGACTCACCAGAAATCCACTTGATTTTACCAGGATTAAAGGCATGTACACCAAGTCCAGCTCACTTACATGTTTTATTCTACATGCCAACTTCTGATTGTTAACGGCTGTGTAGAGAACTGATTCTGTGGGACTAGTCAGATGGCTCAGCAATTAAGTGCATTGCCTGCTCTAACAGATGGCCAAGGTTCCATTCCTATAACTCCATTTTCAGGGGAATCTGACACTGTGTACTATTTAATAAATAGTTTATAAGCAGCTCCTTTATATTGTGAATGGAATAGATTGAAGTCAAAGTTATAGTGAACAAGGTATCTTGGCTATACCTCTAACTGACACAATAGCCTCTAAGTCATTGGTTCTCAACCTGTGGGTCTTGACCCCTTTGGTGGTCAAATGACCTTTTCACACTGCTTGCATATCAGAGATCCTGCCTATCGGGTATTTATTTACTTTACGATTCATAACAGTAGCAAAATTATAGTTATGAGGTAGCAATGAAAATAATTTTATGGTTGAGGGTCGGCACAACCTGAGGAACTGTATTAATGGGTCGCTGTGTTAGAAAGGTTGAGAACCCCTGTTTGAAGTGCTCTTGCCATGCTGAATTCTGGAGGTTATTGAAACTTGTTTCCTTGGCAGCTGGTGTGGACGCCGCTGCTGGCAGCCTACAGCATTGGCCTGCAGAACTGTGACGACACAGAGGTGGCCTCCCTGTGTTTGGAAGGCATCCGGTGTGCAGTCCGAATTGCCTGCATCTTTGGAATGCAGGTGGGTAGAAGGGAGGGGCTCCAGAGACACCAGAGTGTGTTTCTTCAAATTGTGAAAGCTTTGAAACTAACAGGAACTTGCAGTTAACCAAGTGTTTTAGCAAACTGCGTCTTCATTCCCACTGAGAAGCAACCTGTAGCTTGGTGCTAACAGTGGTTCCAGTTGGAAGAATACCGGGGTCCAGATTAAAACCAGCTCCTCGGCTAGCAATGCCAAAACATCCTCTTTGTCCACTTGCCGCGTTTACCTGCCCCGTGCTTCAGGGTTTGGTTGAGGGCAGAGCTCCTAGTGAAGTGTGTGGTGTGTCAGCTGCCTGGAAGCTCTCAGTGCTTTTCCCGCATTCCCCCAGGGGCTGCTGCTGTTTATAACCCAGTCTTACTATGAGTTCCCTCTCTCCCACCCTGCTCTGGGGAAGCAGATGGTTGAACAACATTGATGTGTCTGTAAACCGTGTTTGAATCCTGAAACCCTGAACACATCAGTGCAGTCTCCGAGCTGTTGTGCAGTCACAAGGTTGGTGTGTGTTGCACACCTTGTTTCTAGGTCAGTAAGAATGTGCCCTGATAATAGTTTTTTCTGAAAGCTTCTGTCTTCTGTCCCCATCCATCTTTCTAGGCATTTTCTTTCATATCAAGACGTGAGGTTCTGAAGCCAGAAGCCAGGTTCAAAGCCCACTCTGGTACTTCTCTAGCCTGGTGATCTTGCACCTCCAGACTCAAAGGCACTACTTATCTCCTCATTTATACCCATCCTACAGGCTTGCTGTAAATCTTAGCATCTGTTTGACAGTCTTGGAATCCAGCAGAGAGATCAGAACACAGGACAGACAGCCTGTGATCTGTCACTGCAGAGAGCTAGGTCTCAACTGTAGTTGTGTGCCGGGAGCCTCCAGTGGTCCAGTAGTGGAAGCATGCCAGTATGGGATGGCTGGAAGGCTGGTGAGCCCAAAGCCTGCTGTGTCATTGGGAAGTAGCAGAGAAGTTCGCTGTGCCAGCCTGCTATGTGAGTGGCTACACTGTGGGTGGAGTCAGTGCTCTCTTGGGCTTTTCTTCCAGCTGGAACGAGATGCCTATGTTCAGGCCCTTGCTCGCTTCTCCCTGCTGACAGCCAGCTCCAGCATCACAGAAATGAAGCAAAAGAACATCGACACCATAAAGACACTTATCACCGTGGCTCACACTGATGGCAACTACCTTGGCAACTCTTGGCATGAGGTATGCATCCCTGCTTTTTCTCAGGATGACTCTTGGCTTCTTAATTCTTTTTCTCATCTGCTCAGTTCTGTTGTTGGTAAAGTTAAGCCTTTACCTCCTGAGTCTGAAAGTTGCCCATGAAGACAGAGTTCATGTCCTCTTTTTTTTTTTTTTTTTTTTTTTTTTTTTGGTGTTTTGGTTTTTCGAGACAGGGTTTCTCTGTGTAGCTTTGGAGCCTGTCCTGGATCTCACTCTGTAGCCCAATATGGCCTCGAACTCACAGAGATCCGCCTGGCTCTGCCTCCCGAGTGCTAGGATTAAAGGTGTGCGCCACCACCGCCCGGTTCATGTCCTCTTGACACTGACGACAGAGAACAGTCGGTAAACACATGGCATAATGACAGACAGCAATGAGTGCAACTTGGGGTGGTAGGGGAGTGTGATCAGGAGAGTTTTAAGGAAGTTTTCTTGGTAGGAGGCACACATCTGGTCATAGCTGAAGGAATTGAGCTGGGAGAAGTATTATTCAAGACATGAAGAACAGAATTGCAAAGACCCCAGGACAAGACTGAGATGGCAAGATAAAGGAACAGTGTGGAAGCCAGGGAGGCTCTGTGCAGTGTCTGAGGAAAAGAGTGTACAGGGTGGGGAGCAGGAGCTAGACCCGACCACATGGGTTGAGTTTCATAGGAAATAGAGCCCTGCTTTCAGCCTTGGTTTACACATACACACATACAGATGTATTTCTGAGCATGTGTGTAACCTCACTGTACCAATTCTTCTGTTGATTGTTTGCCTTTTTTTTTTTTTTTTGAGACAAGGTTTTCCTGTGTAGCCCTGGCTGTCCTGGAACTTGTTCTGTAAACCAGGCCGGTCTTGAACTCACAGAGATCTATCTGCCTCTGCCTCCCGAGTGCTGGGATTAAAGGCCTGAGCCACCACTGCCGATTGTTTGTTTGCACTGTTTTGGGGGTGGTGGGGTTTGAGACAGGGTTTCTCTGTGTCACATCCTGGCTGTCCTGGCTTTGTAGACCAGGCTAGCCTCAAACTCACTGAGATCTACTTACCTCTGCCTCCCAAGTGCTGGGATTAAGGGCATGCGCCACCCTGCCCAGCTTGTCTGTTTGCTTTTTAATATTAGGAAACAATGGTGTATAGCAGTATGTTTTTAAAGCCCACAATCATGGTTGTGTAGACAGGACTCTTACTACTGCCTAGCCAGCCATTCTGACCTTGAGGGAAGCCATCTGAAGGGCCTACATTTTATTAGTGTGAAAAACTGCATGTTACAGGAAACACAGAGACTGAGTGAACTGAGGTATCCTCTTTCTGGCTGTAAAGCAAAGCTTCATTTCTCACCCCTTCTTAGATCTTGAAATGCATCAGCCAGCTGGAGCTCGCTCAGCTGATAGGAACTGGGGTGAAGACTCGCTACTTGTCTGGCTCCGGGCGGGAAAGAGAAGGGAGCCTGAAGGGCCACACATTGGCAGGAGAAGAATTCCTGGGCCTTGGCCTCGGTAAGATACCAGGCCCAGCTGGCCAGCACAAATGACAAGTTAACAGTGATGAAGCTCTTCCTGTCACATTAGGATTGTCCTGTATCCACTCTTCCTGTGCAGCTGAAGCCATGTGTATGAATTCCATGGGCAGGCTACTTCACTGCCTTGTGACTGAGTTGAGTAAAGCATCTGGTTTCCCAGCAAAGCAGGGTGCTTTCCTGTTCCTTCTCCACCTGGGGCCATGCTGGGGCCCCCTGCAGTAGGGGCTTCACTGTTCTGGCTAGACCCTGACTATATTTCTTCCGTGTTCTTAGAGTAAACGGTTGTTCCCATCTCTGCTGTGGGTTGACAGCCTCTGGTCAGCTATGTAATGATTACATTAGTCCATATGGCAAGCAGATGTGCCAGGCCACATTCTGAGAACCCAGTTTATATGTTTTAGCTCATTTGATCCTCATAATGATCCAGTGATGTGAGGGCTGCTACCTGCCCTTGTGTATAACTGAGAAAACTAAAGCACAGGGAAAGTGACATGTGGGAGGGAGGTAGCCGAGGCTGCTGGGTCCAAATACCCTGGAGTGGCACAGTGCAGCCAGGCCAGTTCAAGCTCTGGGGACGGGCCATGACAGCACCTGCTTCTGGTTTGCTCTGGAGGATGACTGCAGTGAAACCCTGAACAGCCCACCAGTGTGCAGCAGAAGAGCCCTTGGCTGTCCACCTGCTTGTTTTCCTAAGTGACATCTACAAGCAAAAACCTATAGCAAGGATGCATTTCAACCCAAATGTCACTCTGTCAGCAGTGGAGCTGTCTGTTCTTAGTTTTGTTTCACTTGCATTCCTGTTCTGATTTATGTCCTTTGTATTTACTTGAGGCAAAGGGTGTTTCCTGTTGTTTGTATGCTTTGCTTTTTTGAGGCAGTTTCCTGTGTTCCATGCTGGCCTCAAACTTACTATGTAGCAGAGGCTGGCCTTGAACTTCTGATCCTTATGCCTCTGCCACCTGAGAGCTAAGAATACAGGTGTGCACCACTGTGCTCAGCCTGAGTACTTTGTTCTAAATACTGGGCTGTGTTTGGAGCCCTGCTGATTTTGTGCATTGTGTTTTAGGTAATTTGGTGAGTGGTGGAGTAGATAAAAGACAGATGGCCAGCTTCCAGGAGTCTGTTGGTGAAACCAGCTCACAGAGCGTGGTTGTTGCAGTGGACAGGTAATGATTTTGTTCTCCATTGACACTCCACCACCTACACCTGGCATCATTTATTAGCTTCTGGGTGTGGTGACTTCTAACCTGTTTAACTGTTAATGTTTTCTTTCTTCCTTTTTGAGTACTTGAGACATTTCAATTTCCTCCCTAGAATTTTTACCGGCTCTACCAGACTGGATGGAAATGCAATAGGTATGTATCTGACTTTTGTGAGAACTGTATGTGCCTCCTGTTGTGATTGTGTGAATGTCACTAACCAGGCTTCCCATGTGTTGCTGTCCCCGTCCTGCAGTTGACTTTGTCCGCTGGCTGTGTGCTGTGTCCATGGATGAGCTGGCTTCCCCCCACCATCCCCGGATGTTCAGCCTGCAGAAGATTGTGGAGATATCTTACTACAACATGAGCCGGATCCGGCTGCAGTGGTCTCGGATATGGCATGTCATTGGAGAGCACTTCAACAAGGTAACTGCTCCATCGACAACCGGCTTAGCAGCAGCTGACAGAAAAGCAGGCACTGTTCCAAAAGGAAGGAATGGGAAGGGTTGGCCCTGTTTGGGAGGCTTGCCATCAATTCATTTTTCCCTATGAAATCAAGGACAGCTTGATAGGGGTAATGCACTTACTTTTGGATAGGAGTCGTGTAGAATGAATTAAAAGTCCGGTAGTATGAAAATACTTTCCTGTCCCATACCCATGGGGGACTGTAGCTCAGGTGGTAGAGTGCAGGCCACCGTGCATAGAGCCCTGGGTTCAGTCCCCAGCATTGCACAAATAGCGCATGGTAGTGCATGCCTGTAATCCAGCATGGGGCTGATGGTCCTCCTTGGCTATATAGCAAGTTCTAGGCCAGCCTGGACGTGACCCTTTTTTTCTTTTCTTTTTTTTTTTTAAGATCTTTTGAGACAGAGTCTCACTGTGTAGCTCTGAATGTCCTCGAACTCACTATGTAGCCCAGGTTGGCCTTTGACTCACAGAGATCTGCCCACCTCTGCCTCCCAAGTGCTGGAATTAAAGGCGTGCACCACCATGTACAGACAACCTGTGCATATTATTGCCACTGTGTTTTAAAAATAACCCCACATTCAGGACAGGCCAACACCACAAATGTCATTATACTAGCTGGACACACCTTCTGGTGCTTGGAGGCATGGGAAATCCTGCAGTCCCCTCCTACTGACCTGTAGTAGAGCCGTGGTCGCACACTGTTCAGGGTCAGGATGTCTTATACAAAGGCCCCATTGCCACTCCTTTTTCAAAACCTTGTTGGAAAACTCATTTGTTTGTAAGTCAGAGACAAGCCAAAGACATCCAGAACAAACAACCCCTCTAAAACAGATAGCTGCTGGAGTAAGTCAGGCATGGCTTCATGTCTCTACAAAACATTTCACTCTATTCAGAGGGCTGGGGGTGTGACTCCGTCTCCAAAGTCCTGCTGTGCAAGCATGAACACCTGAGTTTGATCCCTAGAACCCACATATGTGGTGATATATTGTGTCCATTTAGCAATTTAAGCAGCACACATAAAAGCTGGACTAGGCAGTATGCATCTGTAACCCCACGTGGTGGCAGAGACGAGCTCTTAGAGCTCACTGGCCAGCTGTTCTAGCCAATTGGTGGGCTCAGGATTGGGGAGCAACCTTTCTCACACAGTAAGGTAGAAAACAATAGAGAAAGACACCCAGTATCAGCATCTCACCACACGCACTACACACGACCCTACACACACGTGTACATATACTATATACATGCCAAAATCAATGAATACTTAAAAGGGAAGAAAGAATAATCGCATGCCAGAATGTCGTGCACACCTGTAATCCCAGCCCAGGAAAGAGGCTGGAGGCTTGCTGGTCTTTCATTGGGACACTCGACATTTAATAGGTGTCAGCCAAGAAGTAGCTTCTTGGGTCTCAGGATGTACCTCCCAGAGTGTCTGCAGCTAGGCTGCCTGCCTGTGATGTAGAGCCCCACATCCACAACTGTTCCACTGAACCTGCTTCTCACTTCCTGTTCCACTAGGTTGGCTGTAACCCCAATGAAGATGTGGCCATCTTTGCTGTTGATTCACTGCGGCAACTCTCCATGAAGTTTCTGGAGAAGGGAGAGTTAGCCAACTTCCGATTTCAGAAGGATTTTCTGAGGCCATTTGAGCACATTATGAAGAAAAATAGGTAATGCACATTATTGTGAAGACCCTTGGTCACGTTCCCTGTCGCTGTCTGAAAGTCTCTCCCACCACTAACCACATGATGGATTTCTTCCTCTCTTCGTGGTGGTAGGTTGAACAACTGGTAAAAACTCCTTTAATCAACACATAGTCCAAGGGCTTGGGATTAGTTTAGTCTCTGCTTAGAATGTCTGCAGTCCTGTTTCAGTCCCCAGCATGCATCCTCCCACATACACACACTGATGTGTGTACATGTGCATTTGTGTGTGTACGTGTATACATCTCCAGTACGTTTGAAGATTTTATGTGACAAACCCAGGAGTTCTGTTTTCTGTTTTGAAATTGGCTAGGAAGGCATCAGCCCTTCTTGGCTGCAGGTTGTGTCGTTACTCTTTGGGCTTTCTCTCTGCCTTCTCTGAATGGCTGCCTGTGGTCAGTGAACACAGGCCTATGCAGCCTGCCTCTTCCCGCAGGCTGTGCATTGTCAGTGAACAATGTCAGAGATGGCAGTCCTACCTCTGGTTCCATTCCTTGCTTCTGCTGGACTCTCAAGTAGCACTTTCTTCTTGACCTTATGGTTCTGTGATTGCAGGATGATCACTCTGATTCCACAGTGGGGTAGGAGGAGAAGCTGAGCCTGAACGAATATGCATTACTATGTGCTCTAAAACATGATTTTCTAATGTGCTACTGGAAAGGGCAGCATGTGTCTGTCTTCCCATCCTCCACCTCTTGCCCAGGTCCCCGACCATCCGGGACATGGTGATCCGCTGCATCGCCCAGATGGTGAGCTCCCAGGCAGCCAACATCCGCTCAGGCTGGAAGAACATCTTTGCTGTGTTCCACCAGGCAGCCTCTGACCACGATGGGAACATTGTGGAACTGGCCTTCCAAACCACAGGCCACATTGTCTGTAAGTGTCTCAGTTCCCTCCCCTCTGGCATCCTTCTTGAAGTCTAGCAGGTGACCCCTTCTTAGCTGTCCATCTTACTGTTATAGGGGCTTCCTTGGTCTAGTTCTGCTGTGTTGGGATAAACATGCTGGGCAGGGTTAGAAGCATGTTTTCATCTTCACAGCAGCCCAGTGAAGGAGATACAGCCAGTTCTCAATCCTTGCATTCCCATGTCTGAAGCTGCTGGCTCACTAGAGTGTAGACCTAACCTCCTGGCCATTCCCTCACTTCTTTTGTGGTCTTTTCCTAACACATGGGTATGGGGAGCAGCAGAAAACCCAAGTCACCCAAGACACTCTCTGAGCTGAGCTAGATAGAACAAGGTAGAACTCTCATCACGACAAGCGGGGGTCCTTTCTGCAGTCTGCCAAGTGGCAATTTTCACCTTTGCATGCTTTCTGTTGGTGATTTCACTTTTGAAAATGGCCTAGAGCGTGGTGCTGAGTCCTGAGTGTGCAGTGATGTGTCTGTCCTGTACAGAAAGACAAGCTTGCTGTAGGCAGGAGTCGCGGTACTGTGGGTTGTTGGTTTCGTGTTGATGCTTTAACAGTATCTGCTACACAAGGCGTCAAGAACACAGCCAAAACAAGGCTCAGGGTCACTGGTTGACGAAACATGACAGGCTCACAGGAAGCTCTTCTTTCCCGTGGGAGCAGATGTTTAGTGTTTCATGTTTGTGCTGTGGACATTGTAAACAGAACCACAATGAGTAACCTTTGTTTCCTCCATTTTGTCAAAGAAATTGAGGCCCAGAAAAAGTAGAGCAGCTATGAAAAGCCTTCTCCAGAGGCCCCGCTTCATGAAAGCAGTTGTCTCTGACCTCCATTTCCAAATCCTGCTGCCTTATGTCTCCCCAGCAACCATTTTCCAGCACCACTTCCCTGCAGCCATCGACTCCTTCCAGGACGCTGTGAAGTGCTTGTCGGAGTTTGCCTGCAATGCCGCTTTCCCTGACACCAGCATGGAGGCCATCCGGCTCATCCGCTTCTGTGGGAAATATGTCTCAGAGAGGCCTCGGGTGTGTCTCCCATCCTTGTTTCTGTGGGCAGGACCCTTGCTGCTGACAAAGCTGTTGCCACCAGTGTGTTAGAAAAGTGTGTCCAAGGCTTGACATAGTGGCCCACGCCATTAATCCCAGCACCCAGGAGGCAGAGGCAGGTGGATCTCTTGAGTTCAAGGCCAGCCTGGTCACAGAGTGAGTTCCAGGACAAACCCTGTCTTGAAGGAAAAAAAGAAGAGAAGTGTGTGTCCATTTCAGACTGCTGCCATAGTGTTACTTTTCCTTATTGTATACATGAGCATATTGGCATTTGTTTTATTCATAGTGAAGGGTTTTTTTAGGAACTTGTTTGTTTTTGGAGACAGGCTTTCTCTGTGTAACAGTCCTGGCTGTCCTGGAACTCACTTTGTAGACCAGGCTGGCCTCGAACTCACAGAGATCCGCCTGCCTCTGCCTCCCAGTGCTGGGATTAAAGGCGTGTGCCACCACCGCCCGGGGTTTTTTTTAAAAACAATGATAGCTGTCAGACTTATTCACTGGTACTTTAACACTGAGCCCTCTTGCCAGTCTCCACCCCCATTTTTGGCATTTTATTTATTTATTTATTTATTTTTGGGTTTTTTCGAGACAGGGTTTCTCTGTGTAGCTTTGTGCCTGTCCTGGAACTCAATCTGTAGCCCAGGCTGGCCTCAAACTCACAGAGCTCCACCTGCCTCTGCCTCTCGAGTGCTGGGATCAAAGGCGTGCGCCACCACCGCCTGGCTGCTTTTTGGCATTTTAAAGACAGGGCTGGAGAGATGGCTCAGCAGTCAGGAGCACTGCTGCTCTTCCAGAGGACCCAGGTTCAATTCCCATCACCCACAAGACAGCTCACAACTATCTGTAACTCCAGTTTCAGGGGATCTGACACCCTCACACAGACATACAGGGAGGCAAAACACCAATGCACATGAAGTAAAAATAGATAATTTATTAAAAAAAGAAAGACGACATCTCACTATGCAGCTCAGTCAGGCCTTGTACTTATGATAATCCTCCTGCCTCAGCTTTCTAAGCTTTATGCTTATAGACATAAGCTAGATAAGCAAATTTTTGTCTTTTGAAACAGTATCTTGCTGTGTACCCCCGAGCTAATGTGGAACTTACTATGTAGCCCAGGCTGGCCTTGAACTTAAGGCAGTCCTCCTGCCTTGGCCTGCTGAGTGCTGGGATTCCAGGTACTCACATTATACTTAGCAGTTGTTCATACTGAGCTTTCTTCCACAGACTACTTTCCTAGAAGGTAACAGTATGCTAGCTATCGTGTTTAGGCAGAAAGGTCAAGAAGCTAGATGTTTCTTATGAAAGAAAACAGTTGGTTTGAGGAGATGTTGTAGTGGTGAGAGCATTTGCCTACCCTTCAGAGGACCAGAGTTTGGTTGCAGGACCCACACAGTACAGCCCACAACTGCCTGCAACTCCAGCTCTAGGGTTCAGACACTTTCTGGCCTCTGCAAGCCCATGCTCATGTGCACACTCCCACATAAATACCCTTAATGTTAAAAAATAGATCTTTTCCAGGCAGTGGTGGCGCAAACCTTTAATCCCAGCACTTGGGAGGCAGAGGCAGATGAATCTGAGTTCGAGGCCAGCCTGGTCTACAGAGAGAGTTCCAGGACAGCCAAGGCTACACAGAGAAACCCTATTCAAAAAACAAAACAAATAAATAAATAAAATTTAAAAATTGAGCTTTCAGAAAACAAGAAGTCCAAGAGTGGTGACATGTGCCTTTAATCCCAGCATGCAGGAGGCAGAAGCAAGTGTATCTCTGTGAGTTCAAGGCCAGTCTGGTCTACATAGTGAGTTCCAGGACAGCCAGGGCTACATAGACCTTTTCTCAAAAAACAGGAAAGAAAACAAGTCTCCCTTTTAAGAATTGACATTTTGGCCACTATGACACACTTGAGAAATTACAGTTCCACATTGTGTCTGTAGACTGGGGATGGAAGTTAGTGGCAGAGTTTGGCATGCACAGGGCCCATCCTTACCACCACCCTCTCCAATAATAGCCACCTTTCATTTGCTTCTGAAGGTGTCTGGGTATTCTGATATGTTTCATCTTTCTGCAGGAGACTTGTAAACAACTTTAAGAAACAGTTTCAAAGCATTAAAATGAGGGAAACGTGCCCAGTTAGCTACAATGATCTATATAAACCTTAAGTATTCTTCATAGTCTTGAGAAGAGTCTGTCTGGTGAGGTAGCTGGCCCTGTAACAGCTCCTTGTGATGCGGTGACATCGAGACCCAGTGTTCCCTGGTCACTTAGATCTGCCAGGCATGGTCTGGGCATTTTCTGTGTGTTCACTCATTGCTCAAGTCAACTTTCTCGTTTTAAAAACTGACACACCTGAGAAAGCACAGTTTAGAATCCCCAGTGAGGGTTGGGAATGAAACTTGGTGGTAGAGTGTGTGCTTAGCGTGCACAAGGCTCTGGGTTCCACTTGCACCACGTTCACACCTGCTCCCAAAGGAAGGTCGGGTGGGATGAGTCCTTACATCCTTCACTGAAGTGCAGAGAGAAATTGCCTCCTGTTCCGTAGTCAGCATTGATAAGACAGCTCCAGCCCCACTGCAGGAGTGCTTGCAGAGCCTGTTGAAGTGCAGCTTTGCACCAGCGGAAAAGCCTGTGGAAAGCCTGCAAGGCCCTGGCTACCTGACCCTGTGCAGCAGCCGCTTGCCTGTGCCCGGCAGCTCATCAGTAAATGACACATAGCAAGCACTGAGTAACCAGCTGCTGCTGCTGTTGAGCACTGTGTCTTGCAGTACTGTTCTGGACACGGGATTCTGGGCACTTGGTTAGCAGCCTTTGGTCTTTAGCACAGTTCTTAATGTAACACTCTGCCCCAGGGCTCTGGTGAGCTTCCTTACTCAGGTCTGTAGGTTTGGGGGGGAGGGGATAACACCTCTAGTGGGCAGGTCAGTGTCTCAGGCTCTGGTCTCTCCCCTTCTATGCTGCTGAAGAGAGAATTGGAGGAACAGAGGTTGTCTGGAGCCTCAGTGTTTGTGTGGTTGCCTTTCTGATCCCTACTGCTTGCTTAGGCTACATCTAAGAACGGGTTTTCATTGCAGGTACTGCAAGAATACACAAGCGATGACATGAATGTGGCTCCTGGTGACAGAGTCTGGGTCAGAGGCTGGTTTCCCATCCTGTTTGAGCTCTCCTGCATCATTAACAGATGCAAGTTAGACGTGCGCACAAGGTAATGGATCCCCGGGGCATCACTAAAATGAGCCAGCTTCTTGTCCCCCCTGCTTCCTTCCCTTCTACATCTTGGTCTTGGTGTTTTCTTCCCTGCCTGCTCTCCTTGCTTTCCCCCCAGAGGACTCACCGTCATGTTTGAGATCATGAAGAGCTATGGCCACACCTTTGCAAAGCACTGGTGGCAGGACCTTTTCAGAATCGTGTTTCGAATCTTTGACAACATGAAACTCCCTGAGCAGCAGTCAGAGGTGGGTGATAACTACAGCATTACTACGAGTGGGTGTGATGGGGCCTGAAGCCTGCTGGCCTTACTGGGATTGTGTGGCCAAATAACAGGGCTTTGAAAACACAAGTGGACAGGTAGACTGTCCCTCCTAGGCCAGTGTCAACTAGTCCTGGGGCATCCCTTTCCAGGGAAAAGGAGAGGAGTAACTCATGGTTTGCCCACCTAGCCCTGGACACTGTGCCTGCCAGCACTGCAGGCTCCTGTCCTATCACCTGGGCCCTAAGAACCCAGTGAAGTGACAGGTGGGGACAACGTGGACTAGACAAGCACTCCCCAGATCATGCTGTTTTCAGAGGGTGAATGTCATGATAATCACCATCTTCCTCGGTAAACATTTGCTTACACATCCGACTGTTTCTGTAGGTAGTTCTGAGTGGGTGGATGTAGACGGTTTTAAGATGTTGATACTTACTGCTAAACGATGTTCTAGCTAGAAGAATAGCCATCTCACTGCAGAGAGGTTGGTTGTGAAGATCCGTCTTTTTTTTCCCCCCAGAAATCAGAGTGGATGACGACCACCTGCAATCATGCACTGTATGCTATTTGTGACGTGTTCACCCAGTTCTACGAGGCTTTGAATGAAGTGCTTCTCTCTGATGTGTTTGCACAGCTGCAGTGGTGCGTGAAACAAGGTATTCATTAAGTCAAGGGGTAACGTTCCTCTCACAGAGTCCAGTGAAAATTAATTTTCTGTCTGAAAGCAGAGATGTAATGCCAAGGGATACTATGTGCAATTTAATCCACTAGTCTCTTCCCAGGTTGGTTTATAAAGCATATTTTTAAAGGATTTTATTGTTTTTGTTTTAAAAGATGAAATGTACTTTTGTACTTTCAAGTTTTATATGATTGTAATTTTTTATAGTACAGTATTTTTAAAAGTACTTTTGGGGGCTGGAGAGATGGCTCAGAGGTCCTGAGTTCAATTTCCAGCAACCACATGGTGGCTCACAACCGTCCATAATGAGATCTGGTGGCCTCTTCTGACCTGCAAGCATACATGTAGGCAGAACACTATATACATAACAAATAAATAAATCTTTTTTAAAAAGTACTTTTGGAGTCAAGATCAACAGCTTCATCAGTGGACAACCTTTTGTTTGAGTAGTTATGTGTTCATGTTTGTGTATATCAGTAAAGACCATGTATCAGTCAGACCTGGATCCCATTTTGGCCAGGGCAAAGTTAAATTGAGTTAAGATTTTTGAAAAGTGACTCCATTTTTAAGTAAGCAGCAAACAGCTATATTATTTTGATGGCAAAAATTGGAAATGTTAGTGATTAAACATGATTTTTCTGTATCTTCAGCCATTTCCTGTTTGTGAGCCAGTTAATTAAAGTAACAAAACTCTGATCTTTCTCCACCCCTACTAGCAAAACTGACTGAATCACTGTGTTTCTTTAAAAATACGCATTTTTAAATTTTTTAAATTTTATGTGCATGGGTGTTCTACCTGCATATATGTCTGTGCACCATGTGTGTGCCGAATGTCCATGAAGGCCAGAAGAGGAATCCCCTGGGTAGGAGTTACAGTAGTTGTGAGTGATCATGTGGGTGCTGGGAATTGAACCCAGATCCTCTGGAAAAGCAGCCAGTGCTCTTTACCTCTGAGCTGTCTCTCCAGCCCCAATTTGTGTCTCTTCACAAATTGTGACTTCAGCTGCAATATATGACTCTCTATAGCCTGGTTTTATCAAAGCCTACAGACCTCCAGCTACAATCCTCACCTCACAATATCAGATAAAGACCATGGATCCATCAGACCTGGATCCCATTTGGTTTGGTCAGGACAGCAGTTGAAGTTTAATGGCAGATGCTTTGGATTTGCAGATAATGAGCAGTTGGCGCGATCAGGCACTAATTGCTTAGAGAACCTCGTCATATCTAACGGAGAGAAGTTCAGCCCTGCTGTGTGGGACGAAACCTGCAATTGCATGTTGGACATTTTCAAGACCACCATTCCACATGTGTAAGTGCTAAGGCGGTTAATGTGTTCGTGTGCTCAGGGAACATCGCCAGGCTCCTGGGTGCAACTTATACTGATCTTTGCCTTGTTTCCTGCTCCCTTAAGTTTGCTGACATGGAGACCTGCGGGAATGGAAGAAGAGTCATCAGATAAACATTTGGTAGGCTCCTTTATTCTCTCCTCATATCTTAGTAAGATTAGTCAGCCTAAGCTAACAAGGTGACTCAATGGGTAAGGCCCTTGCTGCCAAGACTAATGGCCTGAGTTCAGTGCCCTAGACCCACATGGTCCTCTGACCCCCACAGGCACACCGTGGCACACACAACCCCTTCCTATCCCATCCCAACACATAAAATAAGCAAGTAAAATATAATTTAAAACACCAGTCTGTTATATGATATTTTGTTTGTGTTCTGACAAAGTTTGCCTGGAAATCAGAGCAGCAGAGCAGCCAGCCACTAGAGAGACTTCTTACCTCTACGAAATCTCAGACTGAATGGGGGATCCTTTCTCTATGAATCCTCAGACTGAATAGGCTCTAGAGATCCTGTTTCTACTTGCCTTATATTCCTGTCTCCACCTCTCTAGTGCTGAGATTAAAGGCATGGAGCCTTCCATGTGCTGGGATCAAATCTCTCCAGGCAAACTTTGTCATAACAGAAAATATCATACAACATCAGTCAGCCTATATAGTTTGTAGTTTTCTTATGGGAATGAAAAAGTTCACAATATCTACTGTTAACATACCAGCCTGGTGTGATAGTGTACACCTTTGATCCCTGTGCTCAAGGCAGAAGCAGGCAGGTTTCTCTGACTTCCAGACCAGCCAGGGAATACATAATGTGCCACTCTGCCTCACCCCCCAAGAATTAACTAGGCCTTTATCATTTCCTATAAAGTACAGGAAAGTATTTTCTTAAACAAGTCTCCTTCTGCAATGAAAGTCATCATGTGCATTTCTTGTCCTTGGTGTCTGCACATGCCATGGACTTGCACTCAGGTGAAATGAAGATAGATGGGCACAAAGCCTTGTGAGCATGTTTCTGTGTCTTTTTGAGAATGGTCTTCTCAGGAGCTGCACACTACTGAAAGTTTGTTCCTTCTGGGACCAGCTCTCTGCTGAGTTCCTTGAACAACTCATTGTTTACTTAGCCAGGGCTACACAGAGAAACCCTGTTTCTTTTTGTTTGTTTCTTTCTTTTTTTTTTTTTTTTTCCAGAACTGAGGACTGAACCCAGGGCCTTGCGCCAAGTGCTTTACCACTGAGCTAAATCCCCAACCCCGAAACCCTGTTTCAAAAAAACAAAAACAAACAAACAAACAAAATTCTTTGTTTTACTACTTCAGGAAGATATGTGAATTTGAGAATTATTCATTTGCAATCCCATAGAACACTAAGAACATTAGATTTTTAAAGGATTTGGGCCTTAAACATGAAGATGGATGAAGTCAAAATTTACTCAATTTTTATTTTTGGATTCTTTTTTTAAATTGTGTGTGTGTGTGTGTGTGTGTGTGTGTGTGTGTGTGTGTGTGTGTGTGTGTGTGTGTGTAGGTCAAAAGACTACTTAGAGGAGTGCTTCTCAGCTTCACCATGTGGACTCCAGGGATTGAATATTAGGCATAGTGGCAAGTGCTTTTACCTGCTGAGCTGTCTCGCCGAGTTTATTCAGTTTAAAGTAAAGCATAGTATTTAAACATTTTCTGGGTTTGCTGGTATGGTGGTGCTCGCCTTTAATCCCAGCATTCAGGAGGCAGAGGCAGCTGGATCTCTGTGAGTTCAAACCCAGCCTGGTCTATATAGTGAGCTCCAGGGCTGTATAGTAGACCAGGGCTTCATAAAGGGACCTTGTCTCCAAAAACCTAAAATAAATATAAGCATTTTCTTCTTTTTGAATTCTGCTTCCCCTCCTTCTGTGTGTGTGTGGGCGGGGGGATACTTGTCTGCTGTGGCACACGTGTGGAGGTGAAAAAGAAACCTTGCAGGAGTCAGTCCTTTGCTTCTATCACATGGGTCTTGGGTTGGGTCGTGAAGTTCAGCAACAAGCATTTTTACCTTCTGGGCCATCTTATTGGCCTCTCATTTTTTAATTCTGTCTTTAAATATCCATCTTACTCTTCAGTAGTTACAAGATTGCTGGTTTATTTTCGAACTTGACCTAATTAAAAATCTGTCACACTCATCATCATAATGTGTAGAGAAATGTCTTGACTTTAAACAGGAGAGTGTGAGATTTTAACTAAATTTAGCGTGAACCATTGGTGTTAAGAGTCACGTCTGGGCTGGACACCAAAGACAAGCAAACATTGTCTTTTTTTTTTTTTTTTTCTGGTTTACATCAGGATGTGGACCTGGACCGCCAGTCTTTAAGTAGCATAGACAGGAATGCCTCTGAGAGAGGACAGAGCCAGTTCTCCAACCCCACGGACGACAGCTGGAAGGGCGCACCATATGCAAGTAAGACCTTTTATGTTCTGGGTGTGTTTCCATGTATTCATTTTAACTGGCCAGCACATTCATGTGACTCAGATATTTGGAAAGCACAGAAGTGCCAACAGGATACTGCCCCCCTGCTCCTCCTCTCTCCTGAGCCACGGTGTTGCCAGGCTCGATCAAGCCTCTCTCAAGTCATTTTATCCATATGCCTGCAAATACATGCACATATACATTCACACATGTGCCTGCACACATGTGCCCTCCTCTCCTCCTTACCAGTTACAGGACAGTGTGTGCGGTACTCCCTTTGCACTTAATGCCTCATTCACTATCAGTACACAGTTTTCATATTCTTTCATACTGTTGTCTGTTACCCTAATATATAGATGCATCTTTGTTGAAGTGGATCTTAATAATGGATACTTATTGTTTTATTAATACTTCATTTGTGACTGTTACCCTTGTGTACTGTTCTGCATGACATATTTAGAAAATTCCTAGAAACTAACTAGCAGTGGGGTTAGAGGGTAAGAAGAGCATTTGGTGTTTTGATGGATGTTTCCAGATTGCCATCTGTTAAGTTTGCTCCTGGTTGCATGATCTTTGGGAATACCTCAATAAAATTCTATGTCTCTGGAATTATTTTCTGCTTAATTATGGTTGACTGGAGCCTTTTTCCATGTCTGTGAGAGCCTGCCCTGTGTCTGTCACACCCACCCGGGGCTCCGGGACTGTGGGTGTTCTGCAAATCAATTCCAGTTATTTCTCTGGTTTGTCTCTTAGTGTTGTTCATGTAGTGTTTTACTCTTTTATTTTGAAAAGTAGCTTTAAGAACTAGAGTGTGGAGCTGGAGAGATGGCTCAGCGGTTAAGAGCACACTAACTGCTCTTCTAGAGGACCCGGGTTCAATTCCCAGCACCCACATGGCAGCTAACAACTGTCTGTAACTCCAAGATCTGACACCCTCATACAGACATACATGCAGGCAACACACCAATGCACATAAAAATAAGTTTAAAAAAAAAAAGAAAAACTGGAATGTGGGCTGGAGAGATGGCTCAGTGAACACTGGCTATTCTTGCAGAGGATGTAGTTTCTGTTCCCAGTACCCACATGGTGGCTCACAACTGTCTATAACTGTAGTCCTATGGGATCCAATTCCCTCTTCTGGTGTGTAGAATTACTTGTAGACATAACACCCACACATAAAATAAATAAATCTTATAAAAAAAACAAAACAAAACTGAAATGTGGTGTTGGGCATGGTAACACATGCCTTTAATCCTAGCAGGTGGATCTCTGGGTTTGAAGCTCCTATCCTGATCTACATAGATAGTTCCAGGCCATCCAAGGCTGAACCATAGGACCCTGTTTATGTGCCAGGCACTGTCCTTTTCGGTGTGTGAATTCATCGGTCCTTCTGCTGGCCTTTGAAGAATGCTGCTTTGCATCTGAATGACAGGATGTAATAGACAGGGCCAGACATGCTTTGGCACTTCAAAGTGTGCTGTTCCGTCTGAAGTGGTGTCTCCATCACTTGTCTCCAGAGCAGTCCCACCCCCTCCTCCACACGTCAGACTCTGAAGTAAACGCTGACTGAACTTCTGAAGCAGCACAGCAGGACAAGACAGTATGTGACCCCGTTATCTTCTGAAAGGATAAAAGTCACCTTGCAATCCACTCAGAAGGCCCCTGGAACTGAGGTCCTGTCCTTTGGTAACTGCTCACAGCCAGGGGAGAGGAGTCTGATTTGTTGTCCCCTCTAGAGCAGCTCACTAGGTGGACGGGGTCAAGTGTAAACTCCTCTCACTAGGAGACTCTCGGCAACAAGACGTCTGTATTTGGGACCAGAGCCTCTGCTACGCCTCCAGTCAGCAGTTAAATTCTTTCTCCTGCTTTTCCAGCTCAACCTCCCTTCTGAGCCCAAAATGTTTGCACAATTTCGTGTGTGTGTTTGTATTGTGACCCACTATCTAACTTTAGTCCAGCTGGTCTAAAACTTGGAATCCTCGGGACTCCTGCTTCATCCTCCAGGATATGGCCATCATACCTGGCTATATAGTTTGGTTTTTTATCGACACCAGCTACAACTTCACTATATTTTTTGTTTGCTTGAGACAAGTTCTCTGAAGCTTGCTTTTAGAGCTCTGCCTGCCTCTGCCTCCTGAGTGCTGGAATTCAAGTTGTATGCCAGCACACCTAGCTGACTTTGTATTTCTTAAAGTTCAATTAGGGGGCTGGAGAGATGGCTAAGCAGTTAAGAGCAGTGACTGTTCTTATAGAGGACCTGAATTTGGTTCCAGTTCTACATGGAGGTTCATAACCTTCTGTAACTCCAGCTCCAGAGGATCTGATGCTCTCTTCTGGCCTCCTTGGGTACCAGGAATGCACATGGGCAAAACATTCATATACATTAAAAAACAAAAAAGCAACAACAACGACGACAAAAAGCTATTTTAGGTGTTTCTGGAGATTTAACCCAGGATTTCACATGCTAGGGAGACATTCTACCCCTGAACTTAGCCCCTTGAAAGTTGGAGCATTCTGCATAGAGGATTGGTACATGGTTGCAGACTTTTACACCGTGTTTAAAAAGACAGGTGTTTCCGTCCTTCTCTCACCGAAGCTATATGAACTTTCCAGCACTCTGGTCTCTCATGCACTGAGAGAGAATCATTTTACCACAGTGGACCATGAACCAGACAACACTTGTAAGATGGGAGCCATAGATCTGGAGACACAGGGTGGATGGAGTCGGTCTCAGTGGCAGATATGAACTTGTAGATATGAACAGGGAACAGTCAGAATAAAGAACTGAAGGTTCACCACTCCACAGAGTAAAAGAGCACCTCCTCACACCCCAGCCCAGGAGTGGGGATCACATCTAGAACCTTGTGGGTGCAAATGCCCTCAAGACATGAGAAGTAGGAGATGTAGAAAGCCACACCATTTCCAAGATGGAAGAGAAGTGGCCCAGAAAGTGCAGACTTAGAAGAGCTCCCCCGATCTCGTAAACTGAGCTGTGCCTGCTCACAGAACAGAGGCTCACTAGCATCGGCAGCCTGCCCACCTGCCATGAGGGTGCAGTCCACAGCTGTGATGTAGGAGAGCTGTGGCTGACCATGAGACTTGTTGGAGGTCACAGGATCCGCACAATCAATTCTCTCAACTTCAAATCTTTGCTCAATTTCTTTTCTTTCCTTTCCAATTTTCTTGAGTTTCCCTCCTTTACCTCGTTCCTTTTTTTCTTTTCTTATTGTTTCATAACCACATTTTTGGAGAGCTATTTCTTGGCATTTTGCTTAAACTAGCAACCCAACTCTGATGGTTCCTTTCTCTACCCTGTCATGCCAGCGAATATCAGTCAATCAATATCAATTAGGTCCTAGCTATTATCTCCAGTACTGTGGGAGTAGGGGACAGGGTTTTCATTTGTTGACATGCCACAGCACCGAGAAGTGTTCTGGGCACACAGGAGGAGCTCAGTGAACAGTGCTGATCATTGTCAGGGTTAATCTTTATCATCTAATGTAGATCAGAAACTGTTGGCCAGCCTCCTCATCAAGTGTGTGGTTCAGCTGGAGTTGATACAGACCATTGACAACATCGTCTTCTACCCTGCGACCAGCAAAAAGGAGGATGCGGAACACATGGTTGCTGCCCAGGTAACCACCCCTGGGCCTGGGCTGGGGCACTCTTGTTCACGGGAGGCTGTGAGTAGCAACAGCATGTTGGAGCCAGCACAGATGGGCAGTCCCCAGCCCATCATGCGCATCTCTGTTCAACCTCACATTTAGAAACATTGTGCTGGTCACTGGCAATTGAACACGATGAAACAACATACACCGCAGACAGGAGAGCACTGAAAGTCAAAGGTCTTTATTCTCCTGTGAGCTGGCTTACCAGTGTAGCACTGCTCAGATGCCACCCCTCCCTTGGTGCTAGGGAAAGTGTTATCTCAGAGACATCAATAACTGAGGAAGCTGTGTAATGACATATGCCTGAGATCTCAGCACTCAATAGGCTAATGCCAGAGAGTTGTCATGAGTTCAAGGCCTGCCTGGGCTACACAGTAAGTTTGAGGATAGCCTGAACTGCATGAGACCTTGTCTCAAAAATCACAAAGAAAAACAAGCCAGGGGATTAAAAACAAACAACAATAAAACGTGAAAGGAACAATATGCATGCTCAATCTGTCCTTTTCATTTTTTTTTTTTTTAAGTAAGCAGTTCAGTCCTTTGTTTTTACAAAGGCATGGAGACACTGTCATTTGAGAATGTTTTGAGCCCTGTGAAAACAGTACCGTGGTCATCAGCAATCCCCATCATCCCACCTTCCTGACTCTGCAAGTTATTCATTGACTTTCTGTCTCTGGATTTGCTTGTTCAGAGCATCTCATACAAAGAGAGTACAGAGAGTGTGAACTTTAGGGTGTGATTCTTTAATTTAGCAGAATGTTTTGAGTTCATGTGTATTACAGTATTCCTGTAATATAGCAGTATTTCTTTTACATATGGCCAGATAACATTCTGCTGTGGCCGCTTCCCAGCACAGTTGCTCCTCTGGCCATTCTGACTAATACTGGGTGTGGAAGTGCTTGCCTGTAATCCCAACACTCCAGAAGCTAAAGCAGGCCACTGCACAGCAGTACTCTTACTCATTAAAAAAGAAAAATGTCTCAATCCCCCTGCGGCGTGTCTTTAACAATAGAGTTTTACCATCTAATTTGGTGAGCACTTCACTTTAAAATTACTGTTAAACTCATAAATTATATGTATATGACACATGCTTATTCTCTATCAGATTTGACCAAAAACTCCTCCCCCTTTCTACATGTGTTTTCAGCTTTTGGTTTTGGTTTTGGTTGTTTGGTTGTTTGTTTTGTTTTTTCCAAGACAGAGTTTCTCTGTGTAGCCTTGGCTGTCCTAGAACTTGCTCTGTCACAGAAATTCACTTGCCTCTGCCTCCTGAGTGATGGATCAAAGGAGTGCGCCATCACCACCTGGCTTGTTTGTTTTTTTGAGATAGGCTCTCATGTCTCCCAAGACTAGCACTGAACTTGCTTCCTAGCCCAGGCTGGCCTGTGTTCCCAGCCCCCTGCCTTTACATCCCCAGTGCTAGGGTTATAGGTGCATGCCACCATACTTAGCTATAGAACTATGTTTGAAGAGTTTTTGTGAGTTTTGTTTTGTTTTTAATTTGATGTGTATGAGTGTTTTGTCTGCATGTGTATCTGTGCACAAAGTGCCTGCTGCCCAAGGAGGCCAGAAGAGGTCGTCAGATCCCCTGGAACTGGAGTTACAGCCGGGTGTGAGCTGCCATGTGAGTGCTGGCAATCAGCCAGTGCTCTTTCACTGCTAAACCCTCTTTCCAGCTGTTTTAAGAGGGTTATATAAGTGACCGGGTGTGATGGTGCACACCTCTAATCCCAGTGCTCTGGAGGCAGAGGCAGGTGGATCTGTGTGAACCTAAGGCTGGCCTGGTCTACAAAGTGAGTTCCCTATGTAAGAGACCCTGTCTCAAAGAAAAGAATGCTTCACATAAGGTTTACTCTTAGATCTTCAAACGTGTTTTAGTCCCTTCTTGTTTGCTGTCTAAGGTGGGAACCCAGTTTCTGTCTCTGTGTGTGATGGTCACACGTCCTCAGCACTATTTTATGGCAGTCTTTTCTTTCCCCAGTGAATTTTCCAGGCCCTTGTGTCAGAAGTCACTTTACCAATAATATAAGGGCTATTTCTTGTGTCTCCATGCTGTTTAATTCACCGGTATCTACCTGTATACCAGCATCACACTAACCAAATTACTGCAGCTTTTTAGTATGTTTTGGAAGCTGGAAATGTCAGCCCTCCAATTTTGTATGTTTTCAAGATTTCTCTGCCAATCAGGAGTTTGGAATCAGCTTTTTAAATTAGGGCCTCGCTGTACAGCTCAGACTGGCCTGGAACGCACTATGTAGCCCAGGCTTAGCCTAATTTAAAAAGCTGATTCCAAACTCCTGATTGGCAGAGAAATCTTGAAAACATACAAAATTGGAGGGCTGACATTTCCAGCTTCCAAAACATACTAAAAAGCTGCAGTAATTTGGTTAGTGTGATGCTGGTATACACTCAGCTGGGATAACAGGTGTGTGTGTGTGCCAGCACATCTGGTGTCAGCTGGGATTTTGATAAAGACTGCTCCAGAGTTTTGTTTAGACCAACTCAGAAAGTTTTACGATCTTCCCTCCTCAGCTTCTTATGAGGAGGATGGCCAATTCCTAGAAATTTCCAGAAATATAAAATCTCCAAACGTGTCAGGTTTAGGCTGCACATGCACTAACAGTTTGGAGCATTGTACACATGCTTAACCAGTCTTTCCTTTGGGACTGAAGGCTATCTCAGGGCTTGAGTGATCATCTGATCATCTGACTGAGCTCAGAGAACCATAGGTTTAGCGCTTCTCTCCCTGGCTTTGTTATACTTGGGACTCTGGCGTCTGTCACATTGATCACATTTGAAAAGAGAAAAACACAGGGCTGTAGTGCGGTGCTGAAAGCACCCCCCCTGCTTATGCAGCAGATAGTTCTGACAACGTAGAGACTTGAGCCCCCAAGCCTGCCGCCGCCACACAACCACTCAGGATATAGCCAGAGACAGACTCTGAGTGGGAACACTCCAAGGATGGTTCTAGGAGGTTGAACTGCCCTGTCTGTCTGCCATCACATTGCCTCAGTCCCCGCTAAGCTCTTTACTCTCCCCTCCAGCAAGACACCCTAGATGCAGATATCCACATTGAGACGGAGAATCAGGGCATGTACAAGTTCATGTCTTCCCAGCACCTCTTCAAGCTGTTGGACTGCCTGCAAGAGTCCCATTCGTTCTCCAAGGCCTTCAACTCCAACTATGAGCAGCGAACTGTCCTCTGGAGAGCAGGTAAGGCACACAGACAGGCTTGTGACAGGCTCCACCAGCCACCATCCTGAAAGGCCAAGCCTTTGGAGAGCTCTGGTATTTTAATATTTTTAATTTATTTTTTGTTTGTTTTTGTGTGTGAGTGTTTTGCCTGGATATATGTCGGTGTACCCATGCCTGGTGTCCAAGGTCAGAAGAGGGCACTACATCCCCTCGGAATGAAGTTACAGACAGTTGTGAGCCTCCATGTGGTGCTGGGTACTGAAGCTGGGTCCTCTGGAAGAGCAGCCAGTGCTCTTAGCAACTGAGCCATCTCACCAGCCTATGTGATATATTTTTATGATATTTTATGTGATATATATATATGTAATATTATAATATATATTATATATATTATGTAATATATATATTATGTAATATATATATATATATTTCCTCCAAGGGTAGAATGTGTTGGAGTCTTAAAATTTAAAACTTTGCAGAAACACACTATAAACTTTTGTTAACATCCCTTAACCCTCTCCCCAGATACCTTGTTTTGTTGAAACAAAATTGTTTTTGCTATCAGTCCTGGCTAACCTAGAACTTGCTAGTAGCTCAGGCTAGTCTGAAACACACGCTAGTCCCCCTGTCTCAGCCTCCTAATTACTGAGATTACGGGTGTGTGCCATTATGCCTGACTCTGAGTTCTTTGTTTGTTTATTTTGTATGGGTTTTTTTGTTTTGGTGTTTGGTTTTTGGTTTTCTTTTTGGTTTAATGATGCATGGTTTCTCTGTATAGCCCTGGGTATCCTGGAACTCACACTATGTGGAACCTTAGAGAACTGTTCGCCTCTGCCTTGAGTACTGGGATTAAAGGGAATTTCTCTCTCTATTTTTTGTTTGTTTGTTTGTTTCTTTTTGTTTTTTGCTTTTTGTTTTTCAAGACAGGGTTTCTCTGTGTAGCTTTGCGCCTGTCCTGGAACTTGCTCTGTAGACCAGGTTGGCCTCGAACTCACAGAGATGCGCCTGCCTCTGCCTCCCGAGTGCTGGGATTAAAGGTGTGTGCCACCGCCACCCAATGGGAATTCTTTCTTAAAATTTAAAAATTATTGTGGTCTTGAAAAGAAAGTTACTGTGGTGCATGTGTGTTATGTGGGTCAGGAAACAAATTTGCGGAGTCAGCTCAGGTCTCCAGGCTTACAAGAGTAAGTCCCTTTACCCGCTGGGCCCTCCTGCCAGCCTGAGCCCTAGAATTCTGAAGAGCCGTGGACTGAGACGAGACTAAATGGAAGGAGCGCTGCGTCTGCACGGGTCACCTGGAGAGCCAGGAACACCACCACCCGCCTCACATTTCCTTGGTGTGACTAGAGGACTGTCTCCCGTGGCAGCTCAGTGCTGTCCAGGCTGGTAACGTGCACTATTGACCTGATTGCCTTATCTCTAGGCTTCAAGGGCAAGTCTAAACCCAATCTTCTCAAACAAGAAACCAGCAGCCTGGCCTGTTGTTTGAGGATCCTCTTTAGAATGTATGTCGATGAGGACCGCAGGGATTCCTGGGGCGAAATACAGCAGCGACTTTTAACGTAAGATTGTTTTCCCATTAATTTCCCATCATAATTCTGTGAATTGAAAAGAATAGGAGAGCCAGGTGTGGTGGCATGCACTTTTTGTCCTGGACTTGGGAGGTAGAAGTAAGTGGATCTTTGAGTTGCAGGCCAGCCAGGGTTAGAGATACACCTACTCAGCAACACTCCATGCCTGGCTTCCTTCTGCTGCCTCGTCTGTTTCAGGTCCTGAAATCCTAAGCAGAGTAGGCAGGGCTATTCCTTCTCATTCCGACCCTCCCTGGAGCTGTAAAAAGTGCTCTGACAGAATTCTGAGTGCTAAGACTGAGGGAAGTCCTGGCTCTGGCTGGCATCCAGGGTGAGGAGGTTACTGTCCCTCCTGGGAGGAAGTCCAAGGAGTTGCTGTCAGCCCTAGCATCCTGTCGCTCCATCTTTCCAGGAAGATACTAGGCCAGTTTCTACCCCCTCCCAGGGCATCACCAAAAGGCTGGTGAGCCTCATGTTTTGTGTTTCTCTTTGATCCTGGGGTGTGAATTTGGCCTTGCACAGGCTAAGTGCATGCTCTACCACTGAGCTGCACCTCAGGTCCCCAAGCCTCCTTTTTCTCTTCTGAAATATGTAGTAGCCCAGCATTGACTCTGCAGTAAGGCGGCAGTCTGCAACACAGCTAGGAGCAGCCCACAGGAACATCATTCTGTGGATCTTAACTGTCAAGCTGGTGTATCAATTTTCAATATATTGATTTAGTGTATTCCAGATGGCCATTTGGGGAGGAGGGGAGGAGTACATAGTGCAGTGGTGGAGTACTTGCCTACCATGCATGACACCATAGGGTCATTTCCTAGCACTGCATGAACATCCACATGCGCGCGCGTGCGCGCGCGCGCGCGCACACACACACACACACATACACACACGAGAGGAAGGGGGGAAATTGGCTATAAAATATTGTCATGTGTCTTTTAAATGATGGAATTCTTTTCTCCTTTTTTATTGTAATAATTTTATGCCCTTTACAGTTGTCTGACAGTGAGAATATTATAATAGACTTTTGTTTGGTCTTTTGAGATAGGATCTCACGTAGCCCAGGCTGCCTCAAACTGACATGTAGCCAAGGATGACCTTGAACTCCTAGTCTCCTGCCTCTGCCTCCTAAGTGTTGGGATTGCAAGTGTGTGCCATCACAACCAGCACTGATAAATCTTGACTGAAAGGAGAATTTACTTAGTTAAAGGAGATACAATGGTTCTTCCCCACCCTTTCTTGGGACAGAGTCTCCCTATATACCACCTAAGGCTGGTCTTGGACTCATAATTTCCTGCCTCACTCTCTCCATACCCAGGTCTTTTTTTTTGGTTTTTCAAGACAGGGTTTCTCTGTGTAGTTTTGGTGCCTGTCCTGGATCTCACTCTGTAGACCAGGCTGGCCACACTCGAACTCACAGAGATCTGCCTGGCTCTGCCTCCTGAGTGCTGGGATTAAGGCCTGCACCACCACCACCCAGCCCAGGTCATTTCTTAAATCAAGCCTAAAGCATAGGCTCCTAGCATCTGTCAGGGTTGCCGTATAACATTGAAGTCGGGGCAGTTTCAGTAGTTACAGGGTGAGGAGGGGGAGACAGTTAATAACAGTAAAGAAGTACTCTTGTGCTTCGTGTGCTACAGACTGACCAAGCTTCACACTGGTCATTGCCAGAGCCATGCTGTCATATGACAAAAGAAATGAGGACCTGGTGGTTTGTCCAGGCTGGCACAGCCAGTGTAGGTATTCAGTAGGGCATTGAAGGATGTGAAGTGCCAGCTACTGTCTTGACATGCCTGTCTCTTAATTATAGGGTTTGCAGCGAAGCACTTGCCTATTTCACCACTGTGAACTCGGAAAGCCATCGGGAAGCATGGACAAACCTCCTGCTGTTACTTCTAACCAAAACCCTCAAAATAAATGACGAAAAGGTACAGTGAATTCTAATGTCTCCGGCAGGCTCTGGTCAGGGTAGGTGCTTTTCCTCCAGTGGAGATGACTGTTGGAGACAGTTCATTAGGAAAGTGGGTAGGTACCTCCAGATAACAGGGCTTTTCCCAAGAACTCCAGCTGGGAAGGGATGAAGTGTGGACCATGTGTGTGGCCATTGGGGATAGTGCTAATGGTCTCAGTACAAGAAGACAGGCTGAGATTGTGAGTGGTGATGTAGACTATCAGCCCCTTTATGGAGTGAAAGAAGCCTGTTGGGGACAGCAAGACTATTATAACTAAAAGAAACTCAATACCATTAAAATGGGAGTGGGAAGGCATTGTGGATGTTTTGTGATAGGGCCTCATTCAGCCCAGGCTAGCCTAGGACTCCCTGTGAGCTGAAGATTACCTGGTCCTTCTGCCTCTACTTCTGCAACACTGTAGGATTTACTTCTTTGCTTTGTGTGGTGCTGGGGATTGAACCCAAGGCTTCATGCATGCTAGGCAAGCACTCTACCAACTAAGTTACGCCAGGTCTCGTTTTCATGAGACAGTCTTACTATGTAGCCCCGACTGGCCCAGAACTTGCAGTCTTCCTGTTTTAGTCCTGTACCACATCATCCAGCTAAAGTAAGTTTTAGCTGCAGCAAATTTTAATTGTAAGAAAAAGCAGCAGCAGTATTGTAGAACATCGTCATTTAGACTGAGATAAATACCTTTGGAAAACTGGTGCAAAAACAATGTTCCCTGTCTGACTTGGCTCTCTGCTTTCCCTGCCGCCAGTTCAAAGCACACGCGTCAGTGTACTACCCCTACTTGTGTGAAATCATGCAGTTTGACCTGATCCCTGAGCTCCGCGCAGTTCTTCGGAAGTTCTTCCTGCGGATAGGCCTGGTGTATAAGATATGGATTCCAGAAGAGCCATCCCAAGTGCCAGCAACATTGTCATCCATGTGGTAGCACTGGCTCCCACGGTCACTGCTGTGGTTCTGCAGAGTATCCATCATGCCATCCTGACTGGCAAACAAGGCCACCCACCCTGTTGGAGTTCAGACCTGGATAGCAGTGACCTGTCCCCTGGCCTCATCACAGTTCCCATCGTCGGCTCCTGGTGTCTCGTTACACCATTGCACACCAGTAACACAGTGGTGGGGTCAGTTCGCCATCTGTCCGTCATTCCATTTTGCTGCCTGAACTGTCAAATCTGTTGTCAAACCACAGTTTCCTCGCAGAGCTCCAAAACTGGCAATAAATGTTTTGTCAGAGGAAGTCACTCTCCTTGGAAGTAATGAACATCGCTGTATAGATTCGTGTTTATTAGAGAGTATGTTAATAAAATTCCTTGTAACGGCTAACTGCCACCTAAGTACACTGGGTGTTTTGTTGTTTGAATGTATTAGAGAAGTTTGAATGTTTGTGTCAGTTTGGGGTCAGCCTAGTTAGATTAAGAAAGGTAGGAAAAGAGGGTTATTTCTTATGCTTTGTTATTGTCTGAGTGATCTCTAAAGTATTTTACAAAGTTATATTATTGAAGATTTGATTAAAGGCAGAGTGTAGTAGACTTAAAGAGCTTGCAAGGTTTGAAGAAAATGTAGTGCCTCATGGCTCCCTGTTTTAGTAATGTGGGGAGACAAAGGTGTTATCCTTCCTTGAAGTATTTGTGGGTAGGTGTTGTGTTAAATTTCCAGAATGCATTGCGCATCTCTCTGAAATCTCTAATCTGAAATAGTAATGAAAAGCAAACAGCTGACCCAGAGTTTATCTTCAAGTCAGCCTTTTTAGTTTTTCCCTCAGCAGAGTGAGTGTGGAAGGGACTGTCAGAGCTGGGGACAGTAACTTAGTGTAATAAGGGTTACTCCGCTGCTCCCTCAGCCATGTCTTGAGTGGAACTAGAGCTACTGTGGGCCAGCACAGCTGGACTGTGACAACAGCCAGGGGTGGCACTTAGAGCTTCTGTTAGCTTGAGCCAGGAGCTGGAGTCTTTGGCAAGATTAGGTTCTGGGGTCCTTACAGTGGTAATGGTGCCACGCCTAGAACCGCAGCAGAGTGAATTCTGAGTGCTCCCACACCCACAGCAGCCAAGCTAGAGGAAGCTCAATCGATTTGGAGCCCATGAGAAAGAGAACGCACGACTCCTTGTCTGCCCTCACCCACTGTTCACCTGGAGCAGCACTGAGTGCTAAGCCGTGTCGTGAGATGCAGTAGAAACCGCCAGGCTTCTGCCTGCATCGAGTCCTACAAATGGGGGTTGTGTTATGTCAACTCTGGTGCCTTAGAATAGTCATCCCTTGGGAGTGCATCTGTGGAATTGGACCCTTTTTTCCTTCTAGAGGGAGTCCTGGTGCTTTTGCTGTTTTTTTCCTCTTGTTTTGACAGCCTTGCCACATGTTCAGTTTGGTCGGCAGAACTTGTATTTGTGCTTTTTCCCCCCAAAAAAAGTATTATAATTTTTCTACCAAAGAAAAAAAAGCTGGTTGAGATTATTACCAACACATATTAGTTGAGAGGGCTGTGTACCTCGAAGGGCGGGACTGTGGGAGAATGTTAGTGTAAGTGGAAAGTGTGAGCACATTTGACTGATGTGTCTGGGAGTCTGTCACATCTTTTGCTGCACTATAAACCTGCGCCTGAGATGTTCTGCCTGGTGTTGCCACTCAGCATGACCTCAGCTATCAGTGGTCCCTGCAGTATTTGTATCACACATGTAATCAGGGAACATGCATGCGTGTTCAGTGGGTGCATCCTGTCTAAACTGTGTCCCTGACTGGTGGCTTTCCCTCCCCTGTCATGTGACATTCCACCCATCCGCATTAGTCATGTGCCCCCAGTGTTCCCTGCCTCCTCTGTCATTTTTGCTCTTTACAGGGTGGGGAGTGTATCTGTGCATTTTCTTACTTGCTGAGGTTTTCGGGCTTGAATTTCTTTATAATTTTGTTGTATAAAAAGATTGAATTTTCTGAATGATGCATTTGAATTGTACAGCAATAGATCTTTTAAAAACAGTGTAAAACCATTCAGGGTAATTTTTCTTGTCAGTGGGCAGTGGTGTCCCTGACCTCCAGAAACAAGCCATTCGGTTTAAATTCTTTGTGGTGAACAAGTCTAGCCTTTCTCATGGCAAATGTAGCTTGAGCCCACTGGACACCAGTGCAGAGTGAAAAAGAACACTGTACCCTCACAGGCAGATGCTGGCTGGCTGCAGCACAGAGGAGGGAGGGTGGAGCATCTTCCAAGGCTTTAGTTCTTTATCAGAATGCTTTAAGTGTTGGTCATATGTGCCGGACTCTCTAAAGAAGTTTCTGTTCCCAAGCTGCTGTTCCGAGCAGTTCTGTTGTCTGTTAAGGAAATCACCAGCTTTGGCATCTGAGCAACAAACAGTGAGTGGGGTGTGATGTCTGATGTGCACCTCCAGAGTCAGACATATCTAGAAATACAATACTTTCTTCCAACAGGTGACTTTTGTACAAAATTCAGAAAAAAATGTCAAGACACAACCCTCAAAACAAACCATTTTGTTGTTGTTGTTTTGTGATCATGGCTGTCTATTTAGTTGTCTTCTAGTTATTAAAGAACGTGCTGACACAGGCAGGTGTGGCCGCCTCGCTCAGGTGTTTGTTGCTACAGTGCTAGTGGATCCTTCTGCACTCTGTGTCACTGTGGGAAGGGAGACACAAGCTAACGCCCACGTGAAACCTGGAATTGTACTGCCAGCAGCTTGGTGGTTTGGGACGCAAAAAAACCAAAGCTGAGCATTGTAAAGAATGAATCCATCTGAAAATCCTTGCTCTCAGAAAATGACACTCATCAAATGTGTGGTTTTTCTCAGTGTTCTAATTTTTTAAAAAATTTTATCTTGCATATTTGCATCAAACATTTCTTTATGTGCAAAATGTATGTTTTTCCTCTTTAAAAATGCCTAAAAGTTAGTTACTAGCTACTTTGATTTCATCTACACACAGTGATTAAGTGCATTTAATATTGATAATTTAATGAAAAGCATTCCTTGCCCAATGGATGTAAACATTTTTGGAAGAATAAAGCAGAATTATATAATATGAAATGCTATGTAAAGTTTTCTATATAAAAATATTATGTATAATACTGTTAAATACCCCATGCTTTGATCAGGTGGAAAATCAATAAAGTTTTAAAAAGTAAAGCTGCTCCCAATGTCATAATTTATATTCTGTCACGCCATATAGGTTGGGCTATTTGGAGTTTGTTGCCAGGGCAGTTGCAAGCTTACAGTTTCCAGTTGATAGTGGTGCTTGCTCCAGGCAGAGAAGCCTGGTGAGCCGTCTGACCCCTAGGGCCCACATCAAGGTGGAGACAGACCCCACTCCACAAAGGTTCCTCTGGTCTCCACACTTGGTGCTCCACACACCCACACAGTAATAAAATAAAAATTAAAGTAGAAGGCAAGAAATATGCATAATAGCAGTCCTGGTCAAGGTGTCTCACCAACCACTGATCCATCATTGTCTCGGCTCCACTTGCAAGGTAGTCTGTAAAGTGTGTGGTGGAGTCCCCTGTGGCTGGTCCAGGCTTCCGGCATTTTCTTTTCCTAACATGAGATTCCCGGAGAACTCTAACTCCTTGGGGCCCATTGTTTGGGTAGTCTGACAGTCACAGTGTGTCATCCTCAGGCTTATTGCACAGCGGCTGTGAGTTCAAGATTGCAACAGCCAGGCCCTGCCCAGGAGACAGCGTCCCGCAACACTCCCCTTCTCCAGCTCTTCCTTCTTCCATGAGTCCCCGAGGGTTGAAGGGAGATGGTAATTCTGATGACCCTTTTGGTGGTGAGGGCTGAGCTCCAGAGTAAAGGCAAGACAGATGCTCTGTCACTGAGCTATATTCCAATCTTTTTTTTTTTTTATCCCAGGCTGACCTTGAACTTGATATGTATCAGCAGATGGCCTTGAACTTCTGATCTCCTGCCCCCACATACCCAGTGCTGGCATTGTGACGTGTGCACTGCACTGTTTTTTATGCTGTTCTGGGGATTGAATCCAAGATTTCATGCATGCTAGCCAAATACTCTACCAATGAGCTCTAACAACAGTTTCAAAGGTAGAATTCTCTGGTTAGTGGCGGCACGTGCCTTTAATCCCAGCACTTGGGAGGCAAAGGCAGGCAGATCTCTGTGAGTTTGATGCCATCCTGATCTACAGAGTGAGTTCCAGGACAGCTGGGGCTACACAGAAACCCTGTCTCAGGAAAAAAACAAACAAACAAACAAAAAACCAAGAACAAAAACAAACCAAAAGCCAAACCAAACCAAACAAAGGTAGAATTCTCAGGCTCCTCCAACGTGCCTCCCACGTGGCAGCGTTGGAGGACTGGCCCATGGCCGTCATTGTTTCCACCTCAACCTTCCATCTATACTGCAAAGCTGTGTGGTGTGTGTGTGTGTGTGTGTGTGTGTGTGTGAGAGAGAGAGAGAGAGAGAGAGAGAGAGAGAGAGAGAGAGAGAGAGAGAGAGACTTGTGTGAGACCCTCTTTACATCTGTGTATATGTGTATTACCCTCTTCCTCCTAGCACACACCCCCTAGAAGTGGCTGACCAAGTGGTCTCCACAGACCCATGACACTTCAGGAAGACCTCAAAGGGACCACTCTGGATGAGCTAACCTCTTGGCCTGTGGACAGAGGGCCTGTGAGGAGGGAGAAACTAGAACAGAGCTGGAATGAAGCCTTCTAAGGAGGGGGCTGGTCTCAGGAAGCACCACCTGTGGCAATGAGGATTGGGGATGACGGTGTTGGGGAAGGTTTCATGAAAAATATGGGTGGGCCTGAGGGGTCGTATGCAGCTCAACAGTAGAGTACATGCTTAGCATGCATTGAGATCCTGTGTTTACCCTTTAACACTGCAAACACTAAATGACCACGCCTGGTGGTGCATGTCTGCAGTCTCAGCTACTCCATTTATTTGGTTGGCTGTTTGTGACAGGGTCTTTCTTAGTCTGTAACCCAGGCTGGCCTTGAACTCATAGCAATACCTCTACCTCTGTCTTTCAATTGCTGGAAATCCAGGAGCACACCACCAGACCTGGTTTTATGGAGCACTGCGAATGAAACCCAGGGGTTAGTGGATGCTAGACAAACAGCTGAGCTACATCTGCAGCAGCCAAAAACTTACTTCAAAAAACTTTGTTGTTCGAGACAGGGTTTCTCTGTGTAGCCCTGGCTGTCCTGGAACTCACTCTGTAGACCAGGCTGGCCTCGAACTCAGAGATTCCCTTGCCTCTACCTCCCGAGTGTCAATTAAAAAGCCCACAGTGCCATGCCTGGCCCTCAAACAAATTTGTTTTGTTTTGTTTTTTAAAGATTTGTTTTTTTAAATTATGTATACAGTGCTCTGTCTGCATGTATGCCTGCAGGCCAAAAGAGGGCACCAGATCTCATTACAGATGGTTGTGAGCCACCATGTGGTTGCTGGGAATTGAACTCAGGACCTGGAAGAGCAGCCAGTGCTCTTAACCTCTGAGCCATCTCTCCAGCCCTCAAACAAAATTTTTAATGATACTCTTTATGTACATGCAAACGAGTGTGCTACGGCACACGTGGAGCTGACAGGACATCTCACAAGACTGAGTTCTGTTCTTCAATCTTGTGGATCCTGGGGACCAAACTCTGGTTGTCAGGCTTAGTGCTGTAGTGGTATTTGCTCTGCCCATGACCTTGGGCTATAGGCCCGAAGGAGGCGGTACTTCCTGACATTGTAGTGACCTCTTATAAGGGAAGGGAGGAAGGTCACATGCCCCTTCTCCCTGCTCTTGTCTGCGAGGTGGATTCGCTCCTGGTCAGATCAGAGGATGACTTCTGCTGTCTACTCCGTTCTGTATTCATGAGTGTATTTCCTCAATTTATATCTTAATAAATTCTGTTATCCATTTAATAGACTTATGTGGATTGATCATAATATGGTGACAAGCGCCATTAGCCACTGAGCCATCTAAGAAGCCCCACCCAACTTTTCATTTTTAAAATAGGGAACAGAAAAGTCAAGCTCAGGCCTGTAGCCCCAGTACTTGGTAGATGGAGCAGAGGATCAGGAGTTGAAGGCCAGGCGGTCCACATAGGCCAGTCATGAGAACTGACCCCAAAAGCCCAAAATAAGCCAGGCATGGTGGCATAGGCCTGTAATCCCAGCACTTAGGCCAGCCTAGGCTACAGAGTGAGTCATTGTCTCTAAACCAAAACCAAAAGAAGAAGCAGCAGCAGACAATACAAACATCACATCGTTGTTTTCTATCCAGCTCACATCCTGTGCTGGATTCAGTGATGTTCCTGCCACATGGACTGTACTCAGTAAGAACTAAAGGTCCCTCTTCGTTGTTAAAAGTGTTATTATTTGATGTAAATGCCTGAATGTATTTGGGCATCATATGAGTGCAGTGCCTATGGCAGCCAGAAGAGGGCGTTGGACCCATGGAACTGGAGTTAGGGACAGTTGTGAACCACCGAGTGGTGGTGCTGGGATCTGAACCAGTCTTCTTCAAAAGCAGCAACAGCTCTTCGCTGCTGAGCTATCTCTCTAGCCCTCTGCCTCTATTTAAAACAAAGACCCCAACGCGATGCGTCCTGACTTCAGCGATGGCCACTCTCTCGCCTCAGGTGGGCTTTAAATGTGAGATGGAGCCAAAAGACAGGTTCTCAGCAAGCATGAGAGATATGCCCTTCTGAATGCACATAAAGGCGGCTTTCCATGGGCAGCTTTTCAGGGTGATTTTCCATACTTTACAGACTGTTTTGTTAGTGTTGGAAACAAAGACCACAGTATGCAGGAATACTGGGGATTCTGCTCACTTGTTGCCTTTGTTTCCAACACAGTCGTTAGCAGTTGTAGCCAACACTAAGCATAGGTAGTGGTGCTTGTTAGGGTTCACTGTGCACCACCAGATCAGCCTTTCTAAGGCACCCACTTGCAGGGTTCTTCATTGCTACACAGAGAAATGGTGTGTGCCAGAAGGAGCTTATCCTCAAACAGACTGATGTTAGATGCAGGACATCAACCTGCCTTTGGGGTGTGTGTGTGTGTGTGTGTGTGTGTGTGTGTGTGTGTGTGGTGTGTGTGTGTGTGTGTGTGGTGTGTATGTGTCATGTGTGTGTGGTGTGCGTATGTGTGTGTGGTGTGTGTGTGTATGTGTATTGTATGTATGCGGTGTGTATGATATCGAGACTGAGCATCAAATTGTAAGAAACCTTAAGAGTCTCTTATCACACACTGTAAAACTTGTCATGAAATTCATGAAATTCAAATCTTTATTTCCTTTGTTTTCCTTCATTCCCTTTTTTTATTTGTATTATTTTGCTTTGTTTTTTTGAGACAGGATTTCTCTGTTTAGTCCTGGCTGTTCTGGAACTCACTCTATTGACCAACCTGACCTCAATTAGAATTAAAGGTTTGTACCATCATGCCCGACTCTTCAGGTCCTTTTGAAACTAGCCAATCGAGAAAGAGTATGAGGTCAGACACCAGCCAATGAGGAAAAGACAGTTCCCACCTGCAGAGAAGGGAAAATGCAGCACACCACGGGCCCTCTCCACTCTGCCCCATGCTTGCTTCTCTGTGAGCAATGCACTCTAGAATCCAGTTTAGAGCAGCAGTTCTCAACCTGGGGGTCAAATGGCCCTTTCACGGGGTTACCTAAGACCATTAGAAAACATAGCCATTTCCATTACAATTCAGTAGCAAAATTTACAGTTATAAAGTAGCATGAAAAATAATTTTATGGTTAGGGTCACAACATAAGGAACTGTATTAAGGAAGGCTCTAGACTCTAGAGTCCGGATCAAAGTAAAGTTTTGCCTTGAGGCATTTCAACTGGAGTGGCAGTCTCTTACTTTAGGACCTTGAATTTATATCCCTAACAAGATCCAGCCGGGCAGTGGTGGCGCACGCCTTTAATCCCAGCACTCGGGAGGCAGAGCCAGGCAGATCTCTGCGAGTTTGAGGCCAGCCTGGGCTACAGTGTGAGTTTCAGGACAGGCTCCAAAGCTACACAAAGAAACCCTGTCTCGAAAAACCAAAACCAACCAACCAAACAAACAAAATCCAGGGTCTTGCTTAGGTCGGCAATGCTCTGAGTTATATCTCCAGGCCTTATGAATGGCCCTCAAAGATGAAAGACAGGCAAATCATTAGCTTTCTACTTCCCAGGGCTAGAAGAAAATGAAACGAGAAGCAGATTAGTATGATTAAGATAATTGCTTACAGGCTGGTGGTGTAGCTCAGTGGTAGAGTGCTCACCAAGCATGAAGGAGACATCAAGTTCAATCTCCAGTGAAGGTCATCTGTACTAATGCTGCAACAGTAAATGTACTGTATTTATACATGGTACTTTACCTATTCCTACATGAACACCCAACATGGGGGCCAGAGAGACAGCTCAGCAGTTAAAAGCACTGGCTGCTCTTCCAGAGGACTGTTTTAGTTCCCAGCTTCCACATGGTGGCTCACAGCCATCCTTAATCGCCAGTTCCAAGGAAACAAACCCTTCTTCTGGCCTCCTTGGGTGCTGCATGCACATGGTGCACAGAAAATAAAAATAAAAAAACCTTAAAATAAATACCCAACACATCTTTATTGAGCAGCTCGGGTGTGCTAGGTACTGGGGTCACAGCTATAAACAACAGCACTAAGCCCTAAACTCTGTCAGTCATAAGAGCCCTGGGGCTGGTGTGGGAGCCCATTCTCGGGTTCCTGGTGGCTTTACCCAGCAGGTCCGTATAGAGGATGATCAGGACCACGGGCCTGAGTGCAGGTGTCTGAGATGCTCTGCACTTGGCTGTGCTGGGGGAGGAGGTCTTTTGCTCCACCCCTTGGCGTCTCTATA